GGCGAACTTTTAAACATTAATTACTTTTCCAAGTGATATATATATACAATATATATATATATATATATATAGTTTATTATCCATATTAAAATATGAGCTCCTCTTACATATTTACATACATCCCATACATCCATTTATGGATATGGGCTCTCAATACAACACAATCCACGCCATGTTTGATGACCGAACGACATCTGTGATCCCTCACCTCTCGTTCCTCCAGGACCCTCTACGAGGAAGAGACGCGGAACTGGCCATGCGTGGCAGGGGGCGCCAGCATAGGCGGCGACGATCGATGCTTCACGTCGTACTTCCACGCGCTCATGGAAGTGTCGCTAGCGATCGCTGAGGTGACGTCTCCCATCACGCCACTCAGCGTCGTCACAAGCATGTCAGGGAGTAGCCGTGAGTACATGCCGCCGCGCGATCCACCACTGATGCTGTATATAGCTTCCACCGCGCACAGTGATACTGTCCGTCTGTAGACGGATTTCTGTCTTGTGAAAAATTCTTAAAATATTTTTTTTCGAATTAAAAAAAAATTTAACAATTTAAAATTAGTATATGCCCCGAGCGATCCACCACTGTTACTGTATATATAGCATCTACTACGCATCTACTGTGCAGGTTCCTGCATATAGGGTATTCCCGTCCAGTAATACAGTATCTCTACGTAATGTATATCTCCTTATCACGTACTCCCTGATATAATGTTTATATATAATGTTGAATGATAATGATACTATGATATATATATATATGAGAAAGTGGAATGGGATGGGTCCGGTCCCAGTTTCTAGGTGAAATAATTTCCCAATTGCCTGTTCATTAAAATCATGCCTATTAATTTTCGCATTTCTCGCATCCAAGTTTGACTTCTATTCCTGAATCACGAACACTTCACCCGGTATTTCTCGGTTCCCTTAAAATTAAAATGGACCGATCCCACATCCCGGAAAAAAATAACCATCCCTCCTCGTCTAACGTGATGATGATATAGATTCAATGTAGCGTGTGTTGTCTTATCGTCGTTAGCCGCACCCACCAGCCCCTTGATTGAGAAGCGCAAGAAGCTGAAGGCAAAGAGACCCGTGCCTCGACAGAGAACCAGCGCCACGACACCTCGCAAGTTTGAGACGAGCGAAGGTGCGTGAGTCACGTGACGCGTCAGCGTTGTAGCCGACGGAAGCATCGCTATAGTTCCGCGGTGAGTTGTCATTGTCATCATTGTTTGTCGTCGTCATCATCGTTGTCGTTGTCGTCATCATCAACAACGTAATTCTCTGCAGTTTCGCTGATTAATATATAGCCAATAGATCCCACAAAGGTTTGGAAAAGTTTTGTTTGTCTTGTTTCTAAGTGTCTGTTTCTATTGCATGGTTGTCGTTTTCATCACGACATTGTGTATAAACGACTAACGCTCCGCATGCATTCGCGTTGCAGGTATGGCGGTTGTTATTCAGAATCCCGGCTCTACGGTGCTGCCACCTTTTGCCGTGCGCGGCATGCTAAGGATGTTCGGACTCACGGGCGTCGTCCTTGACGTTGACACGGTAACAGCATCCCCCTTCCTGGCGTGCGTTGCCATGACAACAGAGCACTTCTCCTCGTCCGCTCGTTATACTGTTGTTTGTCACGGGTTTTAATCCATGGAGTTAGCCCCCTAGCTATTTTACTTTAGTATGTAACTTTTAGTGAAAGCAATCGCTTTCCAGAGTGAATCGAGGAATGCAGTATGGCAAAGCGAAATGCGACGGTGTGCTAAACCTAGCGCCACCTGGTGGTTTTGTATTTTCTTTCACGCAGCAACACGAGCTGGTGCAGGTGGAAGCGTACCTGCGCAGCGACGGTGTGCTCGTCCGCTATTGGTTCCCGCTGCACATGCTGGAGCGCCCCCAGCAGGGACATCGGCGAACTACGGTCACCGGGTCACAGGTGCTTGACGTGTCGAACATCAACATACACAGGTGAGCGCGGGAAACAATAGAACGTTCACAGGTCAGCACGGGAAACAATAGAATGTACACAGGTCAGGACGGGAAACAATACAACGTTTAGAGATGGTTGCGATGTGCTCCCAATATCAACTATAATAATAATACGTACACATTTACATTTATATATAATCTATGCGTATGTATAAATGATATATGTAGGTAGTATTACTATCGGTGGTTTCTCTACTAACGTAGCACCCCTGCAACCAGTGTTAGTGAGATTATGATCAATAATTTCGCTTCGTAATCTATGTGTATATATAAATGATATACGCAGGTGGTATTGCTATCAGTGAAGTATTCACTAATCTTCTTAAACTATTTCGGTGTCATGCCCCCTCGAGTCTTTATCACAAAATTTCAAATTATTAACCCGTGACTAAATTTTCTTATGTTTTTGGTAAGTTTCATTCCCCCCAAAATAATTTCATTAACCCTTTGGTGAACCATTCACCAGCTTAAGAAGCACTGCACTAACGTAGGCCCCCCCCCCTTCCTACAATAAGTGTTAGTGAGATTGTGATGACTCGTTCGTTGCTAGGGAGCTGCTTGGCTGTGAAGCGGACCTCGCGCGGATGTACTGCCGTAGCGCCCTCCTACAGCTGATTGAACAATGCAGCACCCCACAGCCGCCACAAGTCTGTGACATCGTCGGCTTCGCGGCGACGATGGCCGCCAGCACGTCGCTGCTACAGGTGCGCCCTCTATACGATGCAGCATTGTGTGGTTATCACAATCACGAAGCTACGCACATAAAATATTTATTGTTACTGTTTGTCTGTATTGAATCAGCATCAGTGACATCTAGCAGCAATTATTGAAAATTTTAATAAATGTTTAATGAACATAAGATATGATTTCAATAAGTTGATCAAATCATTTAGATTTGATGCAACGTTTTGTCAAAATACCCTACAGCACAGATTTAATCATTGCTCAACGTTGAATTAGTATAGGATCTCATTTTAACGAGCAGTAGATTGACCGGGCGATGCCGCGTTTCTTCTAGGAGCTCCATGTTGAGAATCTGCAGCTGCTGTCAAACGAACTGCTGATCACTGCACAGCCCGCCGGCCCGCTCACATGCTGCTCCCTGGTGGCGTCGCCATCGCTGCGACAGACGCTCGCGCGACACTCGTGTTCGGCTAGCGATGTGTTTTACGGTGATCAGCGCCGCCTGAAGAGGGAGTTGGAGGCAGTGATCGAGCGTGTGGCGGGACAGGGGGAGCAGTGCCTCATCGAACTCACCAACAACATCTGCGTGTGCCTGCAGGTGCGTGCAGCGCGTGTGAAGTAACACTCCCTATGCCTCGTGTGTCCCTATGTGAATAGATCATTGATTAGATTAACGTGATTAAGTCACCGTAAATAGTTAAAGTAAAATAATTATGTCCACTTTTTCACAAAATGTAAGTGATTCTGTTCACTTTTTATGGTTAAATTGCTACAATATACTTCCTTTCTTTTTCCTTTCTTATTATACTTGCTCTGACATTAGACCATTGATCAGATTAATGGTTTTTATCGCAAAAACACATAACACATATTTTTAATCAGAACATCTGTAGTAGTGACGCACGTCGCTTACCACGCTTCTACGTTCTGCCACCGTGTGGCGCTGACGTCGGCTCTGCTTCTCTGCAGATTGCGCCGGAGGATTTTCCGAGCGAGGAGATGCCGGTGACGGAGGGGAAGCTGGCGACGGACGTGAGCATCCTCGGCGCATCCTTCCTCATCGTCTCCTGCTTGCGCGACCCGAAGACTGCCACCAGCAACGAGTACGTGCCACCGCAAACACACGCGCAGTCACATACGCACAACACGCGCGCACACACACGTACACACGCACGCGCACACAAGACAGCTACCAGCAACGAGTTTATGGCCCGCCAACATGCGCATGTTCCCCGTCACGCACTAGCGCACACGCACGGGCACGCACGCACGTGCATGGACGAGCACACACTATAATATAGAGAGAGTCGACCTTGCTACGACATGCATTGTACAAAAACAGCCAGAGCAAGCATTCATATCTACAAGTCATCAAGCTTTCACACAACGTCATGGAACATTTACAGCGCACCACTGCTACAGGTTCCACCAGCGCAACTCGATACGGACTGATAGCACAACATACAGCAGCGACATGACATTTGACAGGCACCATGTCTACATCAGCCATGTTATACAAGCTGTTGTTTGTCCCAGCGATATTTTGACATTTCCGATAGGACACTAGTTCAACAAGGCGATTTACATGACATGACATTTTACCCCAGCCAGTGCGACTAGTCCAGTCGACCACATCTATACTACAACAACATTTTACAGCCCATGGCTACATGCAACCAACGATTCATGCTACACACAGCGCTATTTTACTTAACATAAGTGACTTTTATCAAGCTTTGACTAAGTGAGAACAGACACACATCCCACACAATTGGCCTACATCAGCAAACTACAATTCATGGCTATTCGCCTAGACGGCTGAATCGAGGAATCAGATGCAGTATAGGGGCAGATTATATACAGCGCGGCGACTTTGAACTATTTTACAATGCGAGCGGTGGTGCCTAAACAGCACCATTGGCGATTACAATCAGCCAGGGGGCACCCCACATCTATTAGCACAAACCCACATTACACGGGACATGACATACACACCATGGCTACAATCACACCACATCTATTACTATCAGCAACATTTACACGACATGGACATTTAACCACCATCGCTACTATCACACCACATCATAACTACGACAACATTACAGACATGACATTACAACACCCATGCTACATGCCCAGCCACAGTGCCATATAGCACAAACATTACACACCATGCTACATCACAACCACATTCAATGACTACACAACATGTACACGACATGACATTACACCCACCATTGCTACATCACACGCACATCATACTACACAACAATTACACACCAGTCATGACATTACACAACGCATGCTACATCACACCACATCATACTACCAGCAACATTACACGACATGAGATTACAACACCATACTACATCACACGCACATCATACTGGGCACACACATTACATGAACATGACATTACACACCATGGCTACATCACACAACATTACACACCAATCTCGCTACATCACACAACATTACACACCATGCTACGCATCACATCCGCACATCAATACTACACACAGACATTACACGACATGACCATTCACAGCCATGTTCTACAATCAGCATTGTGTCGCACATCGAATACTAACACAATCATTTACAGAAATGACATTAACACCATGGCGACATACACCGCATCATATAGCACAGACTATTACATCGACATGGCTAGCATCAACACCAATCATACTACAGCACACAAGGCGGTATAAATGCCATTCACCGATAATAAACTCACGCTGGGCGGACAACTTACTAGCGATCTTCCGTCGGCTACAACGCTGAGCTGGCTCACGTGACTCACGCACCTTCGCTTCGGTACCTCAAACTGCGAGTGTGTCCGTGGCGCTGGTTTCTGGCTTCGAGCGCACGGTCTCATTGCCTCAGCTCTAGGCGCTCTCAGATCAAGGGGCTGGGTGGCGTGGGGTGCGGCTGGAACGACAGATAAGACAACCATTCCGCGCTACATTGAATGCTAATCATCATTCACGTTAGACGAGGAGGGATGGTTAGTTTTTTTCCGGTGTGGTATCGGTCCATTTTAATTTAAGGGCACCGAGAAATACCCGGCTGAAGTGTTCGTGATTCAGCGAATAGCAGTCAAACTTGGATGCGAGAAATGCGAAAAATTAATGAGGGGGGCGGCTCGGGGCGGGATGCCCCCCGGAGCATGATTTTAATGAAAGTCAGGCCAAATTGGAATATCTGCACGCTAGAAACGGATCGGGACCATCCCATTCCAGCTTCTCATATATATAGTATATCATAGTATCATTATCAGATCAAACATTATATATCAACACTTATTATCAGGGAGTAGCGTGATAAGGAGATTACATTCCGTAAGATACTGTATTACTGACGGGAATAACCTATATGGCAGGAACCTCACAGTAGAGCTGCGTATAGATGCTATACTATACAGTAAAGTGGATGGATCGCTCGCTCCGGCCATATTACTAATTTAAATTGTTAAATTTTTTTTATTCGAAAAAATATTTTAAGAATTTTTCACAAGACAGAAATGCCGTCTACAGACGGACAGTATCACTGTGACGCGTGGAAGCTAATATACACATCAGTGGTCGGATCGCGCGGTGGCGGGCATGTACTCCCGCTACTGCCACTTACATGCTTGTGAGACGCTGAGTGGCGTGATGGAGACGGTCACCTCAGGGCGATGCGCTTAGTCAGACACCTCCAGAGCGCCGGTGGAAGTACGTAAACGTGAAGCTCGATCGTCGCCGCGCTATGCTGGCGCCCCCTGCCACGCAGGCCAGTTCCGCTCTCTTCCTCGTAGCCGGCCTGGAGGAACGAGTAGTGACGGGATCATCAGATGTAGGTTGCGGTCATCAAACATGGCGTGGATGTGTGTATCCGAGAGCCCATATCATAAATGGATGTATGGGATGATGTCAATTATGTAAAGGCAGCGCATATTTTAATATGGATATAAACTATATTATACAGTATTATTATAAAAATATTACAAGTTGTAAAAAAAATAAAATTTATAAATCTAAATCACTTGGAAAGTATTAAAATGTTAAAAAGTTCTGCCGTTTGAAAGTAAAAAGTTCTTATGCAGAGAGAGAGAGAGAGAGAGAGAGAGAGAGAGAGAGAGAGAGAGAGAGAGAGAGAGAGAGAGAGAGAGAGAGAAGAGAGAGAGAGAAGAGAGAGAGAGAGAGAGAGAGAGAGGAGAGAGAGAAGAGAGAGAGAGAGAGTGAGAAGACGAGAGAGAGAAAGAGAAGAGGAAGGAGAGAGAGAGACGAGAAAACGTGAGAGGGCAGCGAAAGAGGTAAGAAGAGAGAACGCAAGATTAAAGCCGTGTAGAAAATAGAGAGGGTGAGACGACATAAATACCTGAGTTCAGCATGCAAGAAAGCTGTAATCAGGCAGTGACATGAGGGACTCACGATCAAGAACGTCAGCTGTGGACTAGAGATGCCTGATAGGCGAGCGGTTCCCCCGCCTGACTGATCTGCTCCGCTCTCCAAAGACAGCACAACATGAGCGTCTCAGCACCTCTGCCAGCACATGGCTAGAGTAACTCTCCTGCAAGCACAGGGTAATGATGAACTCAAGCACGGCTAGCTCTGCCTTTATAGTAGTATAACATATTTGAGATGTACATATATATATTGAGTGCATATCATATAATATATATATATTATAGTATCAGAGATAGAAGTGAGGAAGAGAATTAGAGAGTGAAAGAAGAAAGAGAGAGGCAGGGACAGGGAGAAGAGAGAGAGAGCTGAGAGAGAGAGAGATAGATAGATCGGTAGATGGATGGATGGATGGATAAGATGGGAGTGAGTACATGGATAGAAATAGTAGTTAGGTAGCCAACTTGCTATATAAGTTGGGACACAAGACTTTCATAGTGTTAACCCCTTCTGATATGAACCCCAACAAACCGATACAATGTCGTGTCTATATTCTCTGCCCAGTGGCTTTCTAAGGGGCCGACAATGGAGGGGCACAATGCCAGATGCTCATCGTACACTGCCGTAGAGGTCAGAGTCACCGGTTACGCCTTCACGCATGGGCGGGCGACGTCGTTCGGCACAAGAAGAAAATCCGATCAGCAAGTCGCTGACGAGTGCGACAGCACATGGCCAGAATGCAGGCCACAGCCGGCGTCTTGCTTGTGCGGTGGCACACAGAGACCGGCAGTAAGCGAGCACCAGGGGAAACTGGGAGGCGCACACCATTATCGACCGAGGATGCACCTAAGAAAATCCATGTAAATCATATATATATAATATATTAATGTAAGCGAGCACGGCAGGGGGAACTGGGAGGCACGCCAATGATGACCGAGGGACCGCACCTCGAGATAGAACCATGTAAAGCATACATGATAATAACACATCACATATATATATAATATATAAGAGTACATAATGAGAGAATGAGTAGACACGTTTTAACAGGGCATTTGCATAGTTTTCGAACTTGTAATATTCTAGTCAATTATGTGAAATAAATATATTCATGACTTTATTGTTTCTGTCTATGATTCTCCTAATGCCTATGACACCAAGCCTAATTTACCCTGAAAATCGTGTGTTCTTTGCAAAAAAATTCTTTTGGAATACGAGCACGGTTTGCACAGTTTCACAAATGAGCGGGCATGTTTTCGGCGCAAGTTCATTATGGATAGTGTCTTTTGTCTATGACGGAATGCTGGGGCTGCCTTAGGGGAGATTAAGGCATGAATATGTATTCAGCGTGAGCGTTTGCCAGCCCGTGCTAAAAATCAATGTGTGGGCTGCACTGGCGGAGCTAGCAGCTGATTTTAGTGTGTTGCGCATCGTCGTTCCGATGAAATCGAAGCGAAACAATGGCTGTTACTTTGCCTTACTAATATCCACAACAGCCCCCAGCGATCCCGTATACAACCTGGTGCTCGCGCCGCCGGCATATCAACATGAGCACGAAATACACTGCCTCATTTGAAAACGTGTCGTATTCAAAAAACTTTTTGAAGAACTACATACGATTTTCAGGTAAATGGTGGTGTCATATGATTAAGAGGAGAATCATAAGACGAAAAAAGGTGAACGTTTGAATATATTTTATTCAGAGCTCATATTGATAGGAATATTTACAAGTTGAAACTATGGCAAAATGCTGTTAAAACGTGGTCAATACTCTTTTCTCTATTATTACTCTTATATATATAAATAGGATCAACAAGAGCCGCAGAGCGTCTGGCTCATCTGAGGTCTGTCTTGCTACCGGTTTATAAACGTAACATTAAGTGTGCGTAAGTGCACTTGTTAGGCGCAGATATCAGATAGCGCAGTTTGTTACACATCCATTTTTAGCAACTTCTGCATTCTGCATACCTGCCAAATGCCCTTGGTTGGAGTACAAATCGCGCGTGCCTGCAACGTCCTGTTTATGGTGCATTGTGACCCTAACCCTTATCGCTATTAAAACAAAAAATGTTGTAAAAATATTTGTTGTTATTAAATGTTGTAATAAACTGTAAAATATTTGCATATAATGGGAAAAATAGTTAAATGGATAAAGATAGAAAAATCCAGAAAACAGGTAAATAATTAAAAATCAATGGGATTCGATCGCAGACGACCTTTGAGGCCGTGATGCGCTGTGCTGTACGTCGTTCGGTACTATGAGGCCTTATTGGGTATATCTAGATTATGGAGTGTGCATGAATATGAACAACACTGTGACGTCATTGAGGCAGTTCAGGAATCCATGTTCTAACCCTGCCTCTTGAGGTCAAAAGGTATCAGACACTTACTCTCCGGCAGCGTCAGCGGAAAGGCACATTTCATGGTGCCTTTCAATAAAGTGATAAAGATGGTAAGTCAGCGCTGAAACAAAAATTTTTACTCTGTCCATTAGGCCATGTCTTGCAGAACAATGTCTGTATGATCTGACCTTATCCACCACTGCCCCGTTTGACCTGTGACCGTCCAATTTCGCAGTGGTGATGGGTTTCCTGCCATCACACTCTCCACGAATAGTTAAAGCATCTAGGTCGAGCCGTTAGATTTTGTGGCCGCAATTCCGTTATTTCCGTCGCTATACCTTAAGTTAAGGGAAATATTCCCATTCCGTTTACACAATCTTACCTTTGCCCCTTGACCCCCCGCAGAATTTGTCATCCGAGTCCTTTCACTAGAATTCCCCCCGACGACCCCCGAATATCGTGACCGTACGTCCGGGCCGGTTATAGATTGTGGCCCAACTGTTGACGGACGACGCACGACGCACGATCATGGCGGATTCTACCACCACTGCATGCTGATTCGTCAGATGAGCTAATAATAAACAAATAAGCTGATAATACTATATATTAGCATATAATATATATATATATGAAGCCTTTACACTGTATTCACTGTATACACATTACTCTGTCATTAATACTGTGTCCTGGCATATAAGTGGCTTTTATACAGGTTTGACTGCATAATAAATAATAATGAGTAATGAATAATCAACAGTAACACGTGGGCATTGCCTGTTGGTAGTGCGACTAAGGATTTCTGGCAAAGTCGCGATTCCAAAAACTGTCGGGCGATTCACGAGAGATCGTGGAGCGTACGCTGGGAGGGGAAGCTCCTCGCGCATGTGTACCGTGAGCGTACCTGGGAAGGGGAAGCTCCGCGCCGCGTGACCGTGCAGGCGTTACCGGTGAGGGAATGCTCGCCGGCGGCGTTGACCCGTGAGCGTACCACTGGGGAGGTGGGAAGCTCCCGCGCGTGACCGTTGAGCGTGTAACCTGGGGCAGGGGAAGTCTCTCGCGCGTTGACGCCGGAGCGTCCTGGGGAGGGTGTGAAGCTCCCCCGGCTCAGGCCCGTGAGCTGTACCGGGGAGGTGGAAGCTCTCCTGCTGCGTTGACCGTGTAGCGTTACCGTCGTGGAGGGGGCATAGACTTCTCGCCGGCGTGACCGTTGGCCGTACATTGGGGAGGTGGAATGCTCCCGGCAGCGTAGATCTCTGTGTGAAGTACCTGGGAGGGGTGAATGCTCCCTCGCTGACCGGTAGCCGATTACATCTGGGAGGGTAGAAGCTCCCGCGCGTGTGACCGTGACGTATCTCTGGGGATGGGGTATATTCTCCCGATTGCGAGTTGACCGTAAGCGGTACTTCTGGGAAGGGGATAGCTTCTCCGTGGCTGACATTGACCAGTGGAGCGTTACTCTGGAGGGGAAATCTCTCCCTGCTGCATGCAAGGAACGTATCCGCTGGGAGGGGAAGCTCCCAGCGCGTTACGCGCTGAAGTGAGCTACCTGGGAGGGGGAAGCCGCGCGCGTTTGACGCGTGAGGCGTACAGACTTGTGGTGAGGGGCGTGAATGCTTACCACGCGCTTGACCGTTGAGCGTACACCACTCTGCGGAAGGGAAGCTCCCCCTGTGACTCGGGTTGAGCGTACCTTGGGGATGGGAAATGCTCCGCGCGTGATCCGGTGGAGCGTAGCCTTGTGGAGGGTGAATCTTCCGCGGGACGTTGAGCTGCGTATCATCTGGGAGGGGGAACTCCCTGCGCGGTGACCTGTTGAAGCGTTACCTTGGTGGAGGGGAAGCTCCGAGCCGCGAGACCGTGATGAGTGTACCTGGGGAGGGGTAAGCTTCCGCGCGTGACGCAGTGAGCGAGTCCTGGGGAGGGGAAGGCTCCGCGCGTGACGTGACGTACCTAGGGGAGGGGAAGGCTCCTGCGCGCTAACAGTGCAGCAGAAAGTTATCAGACGGATGCGCATCGACGGCTGGGTACTGGGTTGGCCTGATGGCATACTATGACTGTGTCAGCACATCGTTGGTAGCAGACAGACCTCCGCCGCATATCCTGGCCCGTGCTTGTTGACCTAAGCAGTCGACTGTATCGGGCATAGACCCTCGCCACGGCGCCTTCACGCCCTGCAAAGCATATTCAATTTATCTTTATTAATTATTTATTATATATATACCTGATAATATGATATATATATAATATAATTATAATTTAATTATTTATTTATATATATTTATATTATTTAATGTATTTATTAATTATATTCTATTATTATTATGACCTCGTAAGATTGT